CCTCTGTGACTAATGAAATCTACAAGGTCTTTGCATATCCTCTCACTGAAGAGGTAATTAACCAATGATCAAATATGGGCATATATATGTATTATTTTTTCCAAATATTTTTTGTCTTGCCGTTACACCCAAGGAAAAACATATCCCCACACCCTGAGTGCTCCCTTGCTATGGCCCCCAATCTCTGTCTGCATGAGGCTCTGTTTCTCTCTTCCTTGTTCCGTGATGCCTACGGCTGCAGTTAGAGACACAGTCACACCTGTCTTACTCATTTGCTAGCTTTTACTGAAGCAGAGCAACACTTTCCATCGATTTAGATGTGAGAAATGACTTTCTTAGTGTTTGATGTCTGTCTGCAGCTCCACGTCTCCCATTCCTGGAGAGTTTGGGAAGAGAGAGGTTGTTTCTAAGAAAATATGAGATGAGGCTTCCTCTTACAGGGTTTTCCGAGTAGTGAGTCTCAACTTTGGCTGCACCTTAGAATCACCTGGGGAACTTTTAAAAATTCCAAGGCCAAGGCCATGCCCAGACCAATGAGAACCTCTGGGGATGGGACCCCGGCATCAGTATTTTTCTAAAAAGCTCCTCAAGTGATCCCAAAGTGCAGCCAAGGTGGAGAGCCATTGTTCCAAAAATATCTGTTTCTCTCTCCATAAAAGCTGATAAAGACAAATTTTTCCATCAGTTAGGCTGAGTTAGAAATGATTGAATTCTCTTTTCAAGCACTGTCTACCTGACTCATCCATCCGTCCATCCGTCCATCCATCCATCCATCCGTCACATATTTTATCAAGTGCCTGCTATGTGCCAGGTGCAGTGCTGAGTGTTCATTTTTGGACAAGACCAGGTCCCTTTCTTCAAGATGCTGAAAACTAAAAACCAGACTGAGGGATCAGCTGAATAAACAGGAAACCGCAATACCTTGTGACGAGAAATGTGCGTAAGTCCAGAGGGCTGTGGGAACACAGAGGAGAGAGCTTCTAAACTGAGAAGAGCAACGACGGGGCAGCTTCCCAGAGGAAGTGGTGTCCAAGCTGAGACTGGAAAGACCAGTAGGTGAAGAGGTGGGTGTGGCTGAGGAAGTGCATCAGTAAGGAAAGATAGAAATCCAAGGTGCTATAAGTAGCTTAGAGGTGGCCGAGCCCAGAGTGGGAGTGGGGCAAGTGGCAGGAAGCCCCGAGGCACCAGGTGGGAGAGGCCGGCAGGGCCATATCACAGCGGCCTCATCAGTTGTGTTAGGAGTTGGAACTCATCCCAAGGGCAGTGGGGAGCCTTGCAAGGGTTTTCATCAGGGGAGTGGCCAAACCACATTAATTCCGGGTAGATCCTAGGCTCAGCTGCATTGGAAACATGAGATTTGAGTTTCTAAGAAAGCCCTTCTGAGAAAAAAGACCAAACCTCCAGTCTCTTGCTGGTGAGGATGACAGAGGAGGGATCTGGCCCCAACCTCATCACCGACTTTGGATGTCCTCTCGCAGACCTGCCCAATGCCCTGGGTGCCTTGGGAATAACCAGCCTCTCTCAGGCACCCGATTTGTTCTCCCTGTTCTTTCTGGGTCTGAGGCTGAGGGAAAGGAGCTCAGGTTTAGGGGGTCAGGAAAGACCCACCTCCAGTTGTCACCACTACTAATCATCTCTGTACCCTCAAGACAGGCAAGTCGCTTCACCCCTGGGGGCCTTGTTTCCTCAGCTGTAAAAAAGGGATGTTTATGGCTGTTTTGTCATTCGGTCTTTCTGAGACTAGAATTATAAAACTCAAGAGCGTTTAGCACTGTTCCTAGCACATGGCCAGCACCACACTTGGCAGATTAAACACTGATTCTTTCTTCCCTCCACCTACTGGGGGGCACCTGGTCTCCCCCCGCCCAACTCCAGAGCTTTTGCTCCTATTATAACTCCAAACACAGGCCAAGGGAATCAGAAGTCGCTGTCCCCTCCCCTCTTCTACCTGCTGCAGAGCTGAGGACCCATCTTTCCCAGCCTTTGCTCCTCAAGCCGCCTCCAGCTGACCCTGAACCCATTTGTGCCCAGGTATCCTTACAGGTCTATTTTTTTTTGCACACACCCCCCCCCCCCCCCCATTTGCAGGAGCCAAGCAGGTCTAAACTTACCAACCCTCTGTGCTGGGCTAGTGCTGTATGGAATCTTCCTTCAAATCCCAGCTCCTGTGTCCCCCTCCTGTCCACTACTAATAACCCTGGTCACATTCAAAGCTGGTGCAGTTACAAAGTCCTTTCACATCCTCTGGTGCCCATCTCGATCTCTCAGAATTAAAGCCAAAATCCTGAAGATGGCCTGCAAGGCCCCACATGAGCTCACCCTCCAGACCCTCCGCTGCCCACTGACCTCATCACCTACTACTCTCTCCCTCGCTCATTCCATTCCAGTCAGACTTGCCCTGCCCCTGCCAAGCACACTCCCACCCCAGGGCCTTTGCCCCTGCTGTTCCCTCAGCTTGGAATGCCCTTCCCCAGATATCCGCGGACTCTCTCCCTCACTTTCTTCAGACTTGTGCTTTTCTACCTTGCATGAAACGGCCACTCTTCATCTTTCGTGTTCACAGTTCCCCTCCTCCTCATTTATTTTATTCATCGTGCTTATTAACAATTGACTTATATATTTAGTTGCCTATCTGTTTATTGTTTTCTCCTCTACCCTCCATCAGAATATAATTTCCATGAGGTCAGGGGAGAGTTTGTTCAGTGTCGCATCCCAAGCAGCAGAAACAACATCTGGCGTGTAGCAGGTGTTGGATAAATATTTGTTGAATGAGCAAGTGCCTAAACAAACTCATTACCTCATTTGGTCCTTGCAACAGCCCATTTGACAGATGAAGGCAACTAACACCCGCGGTCTGATGCACAGTTACACCGCATCCCACAGCCTCGGCTTCAGGCTCTCCTTCACGCCACACATGGCACATTCCTCTGCTGGCGAGCGATTTTCATACCATCAGGATTTCCCCTGACCTTTAGCCCGAGAGGAAATGATATCGCAACTGGAAGAATACCCAGAGGGCTGGGAGCTGGCAGCGGACGCCCCGGCAGCTGCAGGGAGTGTGTGAGTGGATGCCGAGTTGGCCAGAAAGGCAGCGGAACGAGCGGGAAGAAGGCATGCAAAGACATCAGTGCGCCTGGTCCACCGCCATGTCACCGTCACCAGAAGTAAAGGTGGTCTGAGTGTCAGGAGTTGGGATGTGGGACCACAAGGCTGTCTCCAGAGGTTGTCCCAGCCAGGGCATTGGGTTCCATGTTTGGGACCCTTCCTTGAGCAGCGCTGGAAGCCTGTCAGCTGTGGGGCACAGGAAAGACCATCGGGCTTCTGACCAGGAGACTGTGTCCTGAGCCCTCAGCTTCCCTTATGGGCTGGCAACCCTGGGCTAATCATTTTGTGGCTCGGTTTTCTCCTCTATAAGATGGAGTTTCACTCCATCTGCCACAGGGTGTTCTAATCAGGGTCCCAGGGGATGTGGGGAAACTGTTTTGTAAACTGCAAACTTCTAGACAAATGCAGGAAATTATTTTGCGTTAGTAAGTAGATTGTCCTGTAGTTGCTTTGATGTGGTTTCATATGCATAACAGGCTCTCCTGGACACAGGCTTTCTCCTCAAATCTGCTACCTGGTGTCACTACCCACCCAGTTACTCAAACCCCAAATATAGGAGTCATGGGTGGCCCCTCTCGGTCCCTCCTACCTAATCCTTCATCCTCTCTTGTTGCTCATGTCCTAATATGACAGGTCCCCAACATCTCTATTGCACTGTCCAGCCCACCCCACCACGGTCTCTCATCTGGACCATCACAAGGCTCCTAACTGATCACCCGGCTTCCCACTCCTGCCTGCCAGAGACATCTTGATAAAACAAATAGAAACATATCCCTCTGTCCCTCTCCTGCTGTAAACCCTGTGAGGGGTTCCTGTGCTAAAGAGAATAAAGTCAAAGGTCGCAGCAAGGCACTGGGGATCCCACCTTCCTCTCTGCCTCATCCCCCTTCACCCACCACCTCACCACGGTCAGCCCCTCCCCGGGGCAAGCTTATTCCCAATCCAGGTTCCTTCCCCATCCTGCCTTCTGCTGGGGATAAGCTGGCCCAGATCTCCGTGTGGCCGGCTCCTTATGGACTTTCAAGTCTCCACCTGAGTGTCCCCTCCCTGGAAGGGACTTCTCCAACCACCTTCTAAGCAGCTACTCCAATCACACTCTACCACCTACTGAATTCGATCTTCACAGCATTTTCTGAACCTGCAATGATCTTATTTTCGTACCTACTATTTCTTGTCCCACTACTCATTTAGAATGGGCACACCCGTCTGTCTTGTTCACTGCTGGATCCCTGGCGCCTAGAACTGCACCTGGTTCACAGTGGATCTAATAATAGCTGGTGATTGACCATGTTTCTGGTGGGGACGGATGTGGACTTGGCTTGTAGATGTTGGTTACTAGCAAACGAATACAAGCATCGCTGTCTTTGACTGAGGGAGTGTCTGCAGAGTCTGATTTATAAAGTAAACAGAGCAATTTCTAAAAGGAGACTCTCCCCAGAGAGGAAGCCAGAATGCCTCCCTAAGCCAAGGCAGCAGGAACGGACCGCTGATGACATCTCCCTGCATTCCACACCAGGGGACTCCAGAACGGGGGAGCGTCCCGTCTGCATTTGGGATTTCTTAGGGGGGTGGAGGTGAGGAAGCTGACTTTGGGATTTTCCTGTTAACTTTCTGTATTAGACTCCAAAGTCCTTGAACTGATCAAGGAGAGTAATACTTTTATAATTTGTGAATTACATGTGTGGTTCTAAAAAGCAGATTTGTTTTTGCCCTAGCGTCTAGAACAGGGCCTGGCATATGGTAGGTGCCTGGTAAACACTAGTTGAGCAAATCTTTACTGATCCCCTGTGACTCTGATCATCCCACAGGTGACCAGGTTTGCTCCCTCATCTCTTGGTGCTGATGCAAAGGAGGCTGATGTGTCTTCACGTTTCTTTTCTTCTTGGTTCCTGCAGGGGGGCTTGGAGAGCAGCCATCTGAGAGCTGGCCGAACACTACAGCCACGAATGCCAGCAGTGAAGAAGCTGGAAAGGGTAACATGAGGCCCCACCAGGGCTTGGGGTACTTTTTTTCCTAGCTGTGGTAAATTTTCACATAACATAAAACTTTCCATTTTAACCGTTTTAATGTGTACAATTTAGCGGCAGTAAATACATTCGCAATGTTGTGCACCCTTCACCACTATTTAGTTCCATCGCTCCCACAGGAGACCCCGTGCCCACTAAGTAGTTACTCCCCATCTCCCCCTCCCCCCGCCCCTGGCTTTGGGAACCTCTTATTGAACCTTTTACTTTCTCTCTTAGTGGACTAGAAGCTCTGAAGTCTGTGCGCACGGAGTGCGTCCTTTTGTTGAGTGGGGTGGGCTGGCTGCCGGAGAAAGGGATAGAAGGCTGCCATTTCGTTGTTGACTGCACCGCCTTCAGTTAAACTCTGCAGTCTGGGCTCGCTTTTTTCTCTAGCGCTTGGCTTGTGAGTTGAAGGCTGAGAGGAGGGATGATGAAGCTTGGGGAACTGGGTCTGACGGCAGGAGTGGGCGTGGGGGGCAAGGAAGGAAAATAAGGCTGGGGAGAGGGCTGGGGAGGGGCGTGTAGACTGAGACCCCGTGGGCTGCTGGCGGTGGGGGCAGGTGAGGTTGTGGGTGTCTGTGGGCGGGGCCGCCTGTCAGCACGTGTCTGCCTGGAAACACGCTGCCTTGTCAATGCTGCGACGCGCATGCTCTCCTAGTTCTGAGATTCTAGCTTGGAGATCTCGGGGAAACGTCTCGCTTCTGGAGAAGCTTTTCCTGTTCAAAAGCTGTGCTGGAGGAGCCAGGCTGCTTTGCTTCTGCTCCGCCTGCATCCTGCGGGAATCAAGGCTAGCTGCTGGCAATGGCATGTCTTCTACGTAAAATTGACACGGAGCAAAAGGAATCTTTTTTTTTTTTTAAAGATTTTATTTTTTTTCCTTTTTCTCCCCAAAGCCCCCCAGTACACAGTTGTACATTCTTCGTTGTGGGTCCTTCTAGTTGTGGCATGTGGGACGCTGCCTCAGCGTGGTTTGATGAGCAGTGCCATGTCCGCACCCAGGATTCGAACCAACGAAACACTGGGCCGCCTGCAGCGGAGCGCGCTGACTTAACCACTTGGCAACGGGGCCAGCCCCAGGAATCATTTTTAAATGCCGGAATTCTATGTTTCGGGGATGCCTATTTAGGAAATGGAAATCATCATTTGCTTTATTTTATGTTTTTGTTTTAATGTTATTTTGTATTTTACACATTCACATGCATATATATAATTTCACTTGAATGCATACATATAATGATATATCATCACATACTTTTTTTTTAATGTTGTCTTTTTTTTCTTTTCTCTTTAATTTGGCCACCTCCATCCCTTCTGTTTTTCCACATACCACCCCTCTGCACTTTCCCAGGTAATGCATGCTAATGACTTTGTATGCACCCTTCTGTATTTTTCTCCATGCACATATATTCACATATACACTTACGTAGAGATATACATATATACAGATATAAGCTTTGCCATATTTTATAAAATGGGGTCATATTCGACACGTGTTTTATGCATCATACTTTTCTCATTTATTAATACCTCATGAGAAACCCCTCCAAGGCATTTGTTATAACTTCGATTTATTCTTTTGAACAGTTGCAAAATATTTGTAGTATAGATGGTCCATCATTTATTTAATCATTCCCTTATCAACTAGCTTTCCCTTCCCTTCAAGTTTTGCCATCGTGAACAATGCTGCGGGAAACAGTCCTGAATGTAGATCCTTACACACCTAGTATGTTTCTAAAGTGTTGCTGGAATGCCTTTCAGAAGGTGTAACCGTTCACATTTCCATAGCAAGTTACAAGTCGCCCCTTCTGCCATATCCTCTCTAGCACTAGGTATTATCAGTGTTTTTGAACAATAGCTCGTTATTACTCAGTTTGTATTTCTCTTGCTGCTGGTGAGTTTGAGCATCTTTCCTTACGTTTGCCAGGGATTGGGGGGTGACTGCTGTGACTTGCCTCTTCCTCTCCTTTGCCTACTTTTCTATTGGGTTGCTGATCCCCCTTTTATCAATTTGACCTCTTTAGAGAGAGGCATATTCTTCAGCACCCCCCTTCCCCTGCTCACCGTTTGACGAACCAATGTTTGCTTCTCAGTTACACAGGGTGTTGCTGGGACCATGTGCAGAGACTCCCTTAAAATCTGTAATTTTCCTGCTTTGCTTTTTCGAAGACATTTTTGCTTATGTGTTTTCAGGCTCCCCAGACATCCAGTATACTTAATGGCGCTTCGTTTTGGCCACAGATGACCAGCACTTAGTGGTAAAAATGGAGCACAGGGTCTGGGGATGAAACCAGAGGGATTTTTCATCAATGTAGATGCCATATCTAATTTATCATTGCATAAAAACCACCCCCAAACCTGGTGAATTCAGTGATCTGTTATTTTTCATGATTCTCTGGGTTGGCTGCGCTCGGTCGGGTGGTTCTTTGGCTGACATTGTCTGGGGTCACTCTCTCAACTGCATTTGTCTACCAGCTGGACTGGGCTGGGAGGTCCAAAAAAGCTTTAGTCACATATTTAGTGCCTCAGTGTGCCTCCACGTAGCTCTTCTTTCCATGGGAACTTTCACCATTTAGTTGTCTAACCTGAGACATTTTTTACACCATGGTGGCTGGCTTCCCAGAAAGAGGAAGCAGAAACTGCCAGTCCACTTGCGGACCAGACTCAGAACTCCCAGAATGCTACTTCCACCACATGCTCTTGGTCCTAACAAGGCAAAAGGCCAGCTCAGGTTCAAGGAGAAGAAAACAGAGTCCACCCCTTGGTGTGAGAAGTGGCATGAGTTCACAGGGAGGAGAGCTGTGGCTGTGACTGGAGGCCATCTGCTGCCCTCCCTCACTGCATCTTTCCTGCTCGCCAGCCACAGACATGGTCAGGGTTTCTAATATTCACTAGTTTGTTGGATGTAAAATGACCCAACCAGTTAAACTTGGACAGTCAGACACACTTGGGTTTGCATTCCAGCTCAGCCACTGAGTAGCTATGACCTTGGATAAGTTGTCTAACTCCTCATATGAGGTTTGGAGAGAATTAGAAATAATATTTACGCAAAATGCGTAGCCAGGTGCCTGGGACTTGAGAGGTGCTCAAGGAGTGCAGCTCCTCCACTTCCTCCTCTCCACCTCCAGGAATTATATTATCCAGCGTTGAAAGTGCGTTGTCCACCTCTGGACTGGAACTCCACAGCTGTTCAACAGCTGCACAGAAACACAATTAAGGAGGACAGGAAGGAATAAGCCTGCCGCAGCCCATTAAAATTCTGCCTCTGGTTGGGTTGTGCACAGTACCCACAGTGCAACAAGAGATCTTCCTGGGCTTTTTAAGGAGGATGATGACAGCACTCCTTCACCCACCACGCCTCCCACCCATCAAGCTGGCTAGATCCATAGTCTGCAGTCCCTCAGATGACCCTGGCGTGTTTGAAGAAGATGACGTCAAGTCTAGGCCAATCCCTCCACTCTGTATTACAGCAGCAGACAAGCAGGTCTGTAAGCACCCAGGGCAAGCCTGGGGAGAAAGGAGACCCCGAAGGTGAGCTGGGGCGGGCTCTTCTAGCCTGTCCCTCCAGCCTTCAGATCTGTCCCTCCAGGACACTGTCAGGCGCCAACCTGGGTGCCTCTTGTTTTTGTCTGAATTAAAGACAAGACAGTTGTGTCAATCTCAGCTTCCCCTTTAATCACAACGCCCCCCCTTCCACCACCCCCAGAAAAGGAGACCGCCCAAGCGGGAGAAAGGATCTGAGGGAAGCTCCAGCCTGCTGGCTTCAGCAGCAGGTTTATTTCCTGGCATTATGTGGCTCCCCTCAGCCCTGACGGTGAGATTTGTGCTTCCAGCTTTGGGGAGGGCACGAGGGCCCGAGAACTGCTCACTCAGCATCCCCCTGGCAGACTGTTAGGTCCGAGGAGCCTCCCTCCCCTGGAGATGAGAGCTCAGCATGCATTTCAGGGCTGATAATGGGATTAATGAAATGGAGTGTGTAACTGCTCCATGAATGAAGCTGTGACTGTTTTAGATAGAGCCTGATTATATGGCCAGAACCATATTCATAAAAGAGAATGGACCTTTCCCTTTCAGAACAGTCCCTAAGAGCTTTGTGCTGAAGCAAATAATAATGGAAGCTGGTCGCACCAGAGAACAAGGATCCCACAAACTTGGACGCAAAGCACCACTCAGCACAGAACCCCTGAACATCACTATGTCAGTGTATCTGAGTGTAACCGCTGAAACTAACTGTAGGCATTCTTTCTAGCCTGTCCCCAAACGCAGACCTTGATAGTGATTACCTGCAGCTCGCATTGAGCCCTTACCATGACAGGTGTCTGACATCAATTACCTGGCTCGATGGCCACCCCACCACCATGCAGCAGGAAGGCTCAGCGTGAGAGCAGCTTGGTCCAAGGCCTCAGTGAATGGCAGCGTTTATCTGGAGCATAAGTCTCCCTGACCCCAAACCCCTTGCTCTTAACCTTTGGGCTCTATCTGTGGTTCTCAAACTTCCCTGTGATTTCGAATCACCTAGGGAGCTTTTAAAAAAACTACGGATGCCTTGATGTCACTCCAGCCAATTGAGTCCCAATCTCAGGGCAGAGGGGCAAACACCAGAATTTTTTAAAAGCTCCCTATTTGATTCAAATGTGCAGCCAGGTTTGAGAACCATTGCACAGAATAATCCACAGTCTCCCTTTTCACCGGGGACTGCTCTTTATTCTTTGGAGATTGCTGCAGGCAAGGTACGAATTTGCCCATCACCCGTGGGGTCAGGGTTATGCAGATGGCTGGACTGTCAGAGGGTTTACTTCCAGTGTGGGAGTGACCAGTTGACTAATCGAAAATTCGCAGTTCCTCGCTTGAGAAGCCTGGGTCAGGCCTGGTTCTGTTTATGACACGGCGGTGCCTTCAGCTGGAAATGGAACATTGAATAGCTACAGCCGCTCCGCTTTTTCACAGAGGAGAGAGTCCACTCCCAGAGC